AACAAATGTGTTATTAATTGGAAAAAAATATGTGTTGTTTACAGACTTGGCTCAATGCAAATGTGTTATTAACTGTACAAATGTATGTATTGTTTACAGACTTAGCTCAATGCAGATGTGTTTTTAATTGGAAAAATGTATGTGCTGTTTATAGACTTGGTTCAAAACAAATGTGTTATTAATTGGAAAAAAATATGTGTTGTTTACAGACTTGGCTCAATGCAGATGTGTTTTTAATTGGAAAAATGTATGTGCTGTTTATAGACTTGGTTCAAAACAAATGTGTTATTAATTGGAAAAAATTATGTGTTGTTTACAGACTTAGCTTAATGCAGATGTGTTTTTATTTGGAAAAATGTATGTGTTGTTTACAGACTTGGGTCAATGCAAATGTTTTTTTAGTTGGAAAATGCATGTGTTGTTTACAGACTTAGCTCAATGCAGATGTGTTTTTAATTGGAAAAATGTATGTGTTGTTTATAGACTTGGCTCAAACAAATGTGTTATTAATTGAAAAAAAAGTATGTGTTGTTTACAGACTTGGCTCAATGCAAATGTTTTTTTAGTTGGAAAATGCATGTGTTGTTTACAGACTTAGCTCAATGCAGATGTGTTTTTAATTGGAAAAAAATGTATGTGTTGTTTACAGACTTGGCTCAATGCAAATGTATTATTAATTGGAAAAATGTATGTGTTGTTTAAAACAACAAGTGTCCGGGGTGTCACAATACGGAACATTTGAAAACTAAAACAAATATACTGACTTTCAAAGTGTTGCTCACTTCATATTTAGTAAGTTTGAGAACTTTAATGGACCGAAACTGCGTGTTGAAAGAAAATGAGACTAAAGTAGATCTCGGTATAGAAGCGAAACGTCGTCGTTTTTTCTTTCTAGAGGCAGTTGCGGTCCATTAAAAGTCCTCAAACCTACTATGTCTACTCTGCCTAAAGTTTCACTGAAACAACAACTTCAGATCTGTTACCTACTTGGACTTTCTCATCCCGTAATTCCATCTATATATATAGTTACTCCACTATCTGTCATAGTTTGTATTATTTTTAACTTAGCATGTGTGATTTAAAAGCAGATATTTAACGTTAATGAACTCACGCTTGAGTTCACTTTGAGTAGGAAAATCGAACTGATTTATCCATATGACATTTATCTTTATAACACTTATATATATATATATATTATCACGTGAAGAATGGGAATGCTTTGAGTTTCTTCATTGATTATTTTTATCATTGGTTTGTTCCGTAATTACTGATATGTGTATATTTCATTAGGGCAAATTCCGTTACTTGGAATCCACATAAGCTGATGGGATCCTTGCTTCAGTGCTCTACCGTACATTTTAAAGAAAACGTAAGTATCTATTGAATGGAATCACTTACGCTTATCCGTTAACTTTTATATATTGCTAATGTTAATGATGCAGTGACGAAAAGGATGTTTTAGTATATTCAGATGTTGAGAGAAGACTAGATTGATCTAAACATCATCACATCGTTACCACCATTAGATATATTATTCCCGACAAAGGCATACAATAAAACGTGTACGTCATTTTGAACATAACAGCTTCCCAAACTGAACGTAAAACATTAGTAATTACAATGTAGCAACTCTTTGATTTACATGAATAGCAAATATTTGATTTTGATTAATAACCATAGAAATATTACACTCTCTCTGCCAAAAAAATTAATATCATACTATAAACGTTCCTATTAAAATATTGTGGAATTTTGAAACGTATAGCTTCTAATTTTCTATCCTTACTTAATCATACGTATAACTCCTGGTGTTATTTCTTGAAAAAAAAAATTTGAAAAATATTAAAGAAACCTTAAAGAACTATAAACTGAATCCGGACTTGAAAAAAATTAGTTCGGTACTTATGTAAGGTGTGTGAGATATTTTTTTTATTCTAATATAACTACAGAGGTTGATTACATTATACTAAAACGAGTTTGGAATTTCGCCATGTCCAATCATGCTCTATCTAACGATTGTACATCTGGGTAATATCATTGGAGCTTAATTTCCATTACAAACGATTCCATAGTACAATTGTCATGTCCAAAGCACATCAAATCTCCCCTCATACTTTCCATAATCCATTTAGTATACGAGGACGACGGTTTTCCAGCACCCATTTCAACAATCTTCGCACGGAAATTCACAAGCGCTGCATCTGGCGACTTGTACTCGTCTTCGTATGTAATAGCTTGAGGAATACAATAATTGTACAGATTTGTCATGGAGCAAACTTTGTACACGAGACATATGTCGCTTTTTTCTAGACGGAGATTGTTTTACATAATTTTCTCAAAAAAGGGGTGGCATCATACTACCTATACGAAATGCCAAACAATGTTAAAATGTAGTTCTTATACATTCCGTTTATATCGGCTGTGCCTGTGCCGTGACTGGTTGATTTATGTGTTCAAAATCTTTAAGATAACATATTCAACCTTCTGTACAACCTCAGCGGCAAGTCTGGAGGCTTATAACGCTAAAAATCGAGTTTCGAAATTCGCGGTGAGCAAACATAGATGGCTCATTGTATAGCTTTGAGCTTAACAACAAACAAAACAAATTCCTCAAAAACCAGCCAATCAGAAGTCTTGTTTCACAAAACTAACCAAACAACAGGGAGCCACCTCCATTGAGCAACTCAAGATAGCCTAACACATGAGCTCTCCATCACGGGCGCCTCACAAGATAAAAATGAAACAAAATTTATAAAACCACAGACCTAAATAAAATCCATGAAAGTTCACCGAAAAGCTGTCTCCGATAAATAAACCATTCAGCAAATTGTCGATTGTAAATCAGTTTTACCAATGAAATTTTGATAAGCACACTTGTAGATAAATATTGTTATTGAAATTCTTTTTTCGTTGTACATCTAGTTCATCAGTTTGAAACGTTATATAATCCTCTGTTTAAATATATAATTTTAATTTTAGTGTACGTGATCCGATCATTTTCTTTTAGGGTCTCCTCATCAGCTGCAACATGCTGAGCGCTGACTACCTGTTTCAACAAGACAAACACTATGACGTCACTTACGACACTGGAGACAAAGTTATTCAATGTGGTCGCCACAACGACATTTTTAAACTGTGGCTCATGTGGCGGTCAAAAGTATGTTTCTGGCGTGGAACTCTTGGTAGATTTTTCATAGAATTATTTTACATAATAAATCCATATTTGACCAATAGATGACGCCACTATACTTGCAAGTATCTGTCATCAAGGTATTGTTGCTAAATTTTTAACTTGGTAAAATACTAACAGTATTATTGAATTGATATAGAAATTGAAGAGAATAAAAGTTTGGAGACGGCTTCAATAGGTAACGAAGAAGACTTTTTTATAAATATACAACGTTTAGACGAAGTTGTGTTATCCTCAGATCGAAACGTTGTACATTTATAACGAAGTTTTCTTCATTACTCTTTCAAGTCGTCTCCAAGCTTTTATTTCCTAAAAAAGTGGTATCCTTGTCGTCAAATAGAAATTGAAGAGGTATGTACCAAGTTATTTCAAATAATTACTATAGTAAATAGAGATAATGAATTTCATCTTAGAAATAAACAAATTATCATATTAATGGTTTTCGTTTTCACTCATGTTTCTTTCATTTGAGTTTGATTAGTTTCGTCTATTCTGTAAGTTTGTAAGCTCAATAAATAGGAAAAAAATGTTAAAATCTAGCATTTAAAGCGTACGTAAAAATGATACACATAAATATTTTTAACTTTTTGTCCATTATGAATATATTTATGATATAGAAATATACAATGAATAAACAATAACAACATGTTTACAAACAATTTACTTGATCTACACCTCGAAATCACACACAGTAGGCTTTAAAGGTATATTTTTAGAAACTTAATGCTTCCTTATCCTAAAATACTTGAAATTAGCTACAATAAGGATAATATTTCGTTAGTTTTCGACCCACCAAGCTTCACTGGAATCTAAAAGAAGAACGATCAGTTTAATATATGAACGCCCTGTTTATCTCTACATATTACTGCACTCTTAATCGCTCTCTTAGGCAGAAATGAAATTCTTTATTTGAATGTTAACATTATATTTATACCATAATTTTTTTATAGAATTCCTATATTTAAAGATATTGCGATTCTATACGTGCATTAGTTTGTATTTTATTTTATCCTTTAGTGAGTGTAAGTACAGACACATGCCAGATAACTAGATTAACAGTGTCACGATGTGTGAAAATGTCAAAACATTGTGAATTACGTGAAGTTGAGTCTTGAGATAACAGAATTCTGAAACATTTGAATATCAATACGTGAAATACTTGCAATGCTTGATCATGAGTGATCAGTTTTGCGTAAGACAATTCCGTGATATCAATAACTTAATAATACAAAATCTGAAATATTTCATGTCAGCCCAAAGTCTTGGTGGAAAACGTCACATTTTTTTTTATGATAGGATTTGATTGATTTAATGTGATTGTTTTGAATGTCGTGCAAAGTTTCTCGAGGGCTATTAGCGATAGCCATTCCTAATTTAGCGGTGATAGACTAGAGGGATGGCAGCTAGTCAACACTACCCACCACCAACTCTTGGACTACTCTTTTACTACCAAATAGTGGGATTGACCGTCACTTTATAACGCCCCCACTTCTGAAAGATTGAACATATTCGTTGGCAGGGATTGAATTCACGGCCCGCAGATTGCGGGTCAAGCGCCTTAATCACCAGGTCATTTTATAATAGGATTCTAAAAGAATACCGAAAATTATCTTTGCGATAAATTCAGAACGAATTCACTGCATCCAATGTAGCCACATGTGAACAGACACCATCTGTAAGATCTGTGTAATGTGCTCTCTATAACTGTGGGCACTTTGGGATTATTGAGACACACAAATCACACATCAACTTGTAGTATTCAGACATACCACGAGTTTTCTACCCCCTTTTTTACATAACACCTTTCAAACTTTTCATTCACGCAGGTGTACGTAGTTTTAATACAGAACGTCTCTCAAGAAAGTAGCTAAGTTCCTTTTGCCGTAGGTACATATTGTTTTGGTCATTCATCTGTAGTATTACATGCACTTTCTTGTGGGAAATATTTCTGTAAGGTTGAACCTACTAAGAGCATAGTGACATTTTCCACTGGCAGATCAAGTGGCACCTTGGGGTAACAACCTCACTTATTTTATGATGGGAATGACCAACAGTCGCGTGGATAGCACAAGCATCAAGAGAAGAATAACATTACTGTTTCGTGTATATATTGCCATATTTTCTCAGTCTGGAACACACTTTCACAAATTTTCAGCTGTTAATTATATTTTCAGCCATAAATCCAATAATATCTCACGAGGTGAACCCAGCTTAGGAGATTTAGGGCAATGTATAACAAAAGCAGGGAAACTTTCAACAATTATAAATTAGTGAAGCATAAATTAGCCTACGCTTAATACAGCATATATATATATATATATATATATCATTACTTTCTTCAGCAAGTGATATTCTATATATGTACCGAATCCTACGTTGACCTAAACATGAGTATATTATAATCTGATAAACATGGAGTTTATTTTATATGTTTTTATAACGTATTTGTAACGAATAAAAGAAAAATATTACCTATACTTCTTTATATGAACCATAAAATATCAGTTTTATCTAGTTTTTGGTGTTTTTCAAAACTCAGATTTCTACTTTGAGTTTTTCTTCTCTTTATATATTCATATTATCTCACTTTTCTTATTAAAAATTGAAACGTAAAATCAAACGAACAATTTCTCAGCAGGTTGTGTTATATGTTAATTTCATTTTGTTTGCAGAAACATCAATAAAAGTTATATAAACCTAATATTACCTTTATTTGGTAAGAATTAGCTCTAAACACTGTATACGGGTCAGGCTTTCAAAGTGTCCAATTTGATGTCGCCAGTGTTCTGGGGCAAATTTCTCTGAGTGCGTACCATATAAATATATAATGATTTCTACATGATATATGATGGACAGAGCTTTCCAAACATATATAATATGTTGAGTTTGGGTTAGGTTTTCCAGTAAACCAATGAAATAATCAATGTTGGGGTGTTAAAAGTAGCATGTCTCCAGCAGAAAAAATTAATTTCAAAGCAATAACACTTACACAAAAAAATGTAAGTATGACTCAATCCTTTATTGTGATTAATTAGTAAACATTTATGTTTTGAAAATTGGTAATTAGCTGATTGTCCCATTACTTTTTCACATATATAAAAATATCCAAAATATCATGTCGTCGTAATCACGTGTTCTCCTTTGCAGTTGTTTATTTTCAAGACAATAATTACAAATGTTTGAGTAAATACAAAGATTAGAGTCTAAAATCAATCCGGGAAGTATATATTTTGATTTGATCATACCCCAAACACAGGGTATCAAAAAATATTTTGGGTATGTCCATTTGGAGCTTGTAGTAAATTTAGTTTTTTAAGCATGTGATCTCCTTTACGCATATATCTAGTGTAGATACAAAAATTATGTCATTTTGCTATATCGTTATACACAATAGCCAAGACATTTGTTGTTATCAATAACTGAAAGGGTAAGAGCAAATTTAATTCTTCAATAAAAATCACTGAACATTAAATTGTGTGAACTCCTTTACTTCAGTTTTGTTTCAGAGTGGAATATGTAGAATGTGAATATGTAAATTGTGTGAACTCCTTTACTTCAGTTTTGTTTCAGAGTGGAATATGTAGAATGCATAATGCTTTTCACACCATATTTAGTTTCCACCATGTACAGATGATTATTGTAGGGTGGATTTGAAATGTATTAGTCACAAATCAATTCATTTTCCTGCAAGAAAAGCCCCTGAAAGTGTGATTACATAACAGATGTGTATCTCTTTAACTGTATAACTAACATTAAAATGGTGTGAATGGTGGTAGTTTTGGGTTTAAATGACTGATAAATTACAAAGCTAAACCTGTGAGCGATAATTAGGTGTCTGTTTATAATAACAGATAATAGGGGGCATGGTGAGATGCAAGTACAGGAGTTCGCAGAATGGGTAAAGGAGTTCATCATTTTAATTCAACTCCTTATATATAATAAAAGTTTACGTTTATGATATGTGGAAGTAGTCTGATACACAATAACTATTCTTATTAGCCTGCTATAGCTGGATTTACTGTTGAGTTATAAAGGAGATTACATTAATTTGTACCCCTGTCTTTGCTAATATACAGAGGTGTTATGCATTTCGGTGATGGATTGCATATTTGAATTTTTAGAATGGATGGTAAACAACGTCGGCAGCTGAAATATTATCACAGAAAATAAGCGGCAGAAGGGAAAATCTTCTTACAGTTTGTTTACTTTTTATTCTAGGTACAATATAATCTGGTAAAGGAGAACACGTGTAAAACAGTAGTCATCTTCATCAAGGTGAAAAAATATGACAGAATGTAGCCCGAGTGCTAGATTTTTGGTGCAAGGTTTTTCAGTAGTTATATTTTCAAGAACTGTATAAATCATACTTATAGAAGAATATTTGTTTCAACATTTTCTAGTTGAAAAATGGACACTTAAGAAAGCCTGGCCCTTACTTGATGTATAGATGCTCTGTACATTACATATAGTGTCCCCAAATACCTAGCATTGATTTTTTTCAGGGAATGACAGGATATGAAAAGCACATCGACCATCTCTTTGATATGGCCCAGTGAGTATTGAACATTAATACATATTGTTCTTATTTTTTGTAAAAGAATGATTGTAGAGTTTGTTGAAGATGGAAATATATATCTATTGCATACTTGTGGGACTGTGTATGTTAATTAAACAAAATTCAGAGAACCAAGTTAAAAAACCTAAATCGTTGTTTTAGATTTAGATTTTTGCGACTGTGGTTAGAAAACAATAATCAATAGTCTGTATGATAGTGTTTATTTTCTTTGTCATCGGAAATTCTCGAGAAGTAGGTCCGTCTTCAAATATCCTCAAAATGGATTTTATTTTTTCATATACCAAAAGGTTTTGGCTCCCAAGTGGCTCAGCGGTAAGACTTAAGGCTTATAACTCTAAAAACCAAGTCTCGATACTCGTTATGGTTACAACACAGACAGCCAATTGTGTAAATATGTGCTTGATAACAAACAAAACCCAAAAGTTTTAAATAACTAAGGTTCATGAGCATTTTATCTAACAGATCGCTCAGTGTTTAGAATATTTTAAACAGTAGCGTTAAAGACTAGAGTATGACTTAAATTGGATTATAAAATAATGAAGAGCTTTTAAGAGAATTTCAAAACAAATGTGATTACTTCCATTGAAAGCACACTACTCTCTCTCTATATATATATATATACCTAAATACCCTCTTCGTACACCTGCATGTTCACTTAAATATATATATATACCTAAATACCCTCTTCATACACCTGCATGTTCACTTAAATATATATATATACCTAAATACCCTCTTCATACACCTGCATGTTCACTTAAATATACATATATATATATATATATACCTAAATACCCTCTTCGTACACCTGCATGTTCACTTAAATAAATATATATATATTTGATTATTAAAACGATAAAGTTCTTATTTTCTCCAGTTACATGGTCAGGAAGTTGAAGGAAAGAAAAGACCGTTTCTTCTTGATCCTAAACGAGGTGAGATTTCATTCAAGCTTCAAGTTCAGTCATAAATGATCAAATTCTTTTTCAAAGAAATTGTGATTTACAGAAGGATCACAAAGTTCCCAGAAGGATGCCAATATTTCACACCTTCTTGCGGTTGCTTTTCACAATCTTTTTTTGTCTCGTTGAGCCTATTATCACCTTTTGGTGTTGTTCTTTAGACAATATCGTCTATTTAGTCAGCTAGAAAGAAATTCTCCAATTTATCTAACTGCTTCCTGAGGGGATGGGGGGAATGTTGAAGACCAAATGATTGAAAGTATCATAGAATATCATCTTTAAAAAATCAGCAAAGTGTACTCATTCTTACTGAGAATATAATCTGGTCTATCAATATCTTCGGTATTTCTTTTCGTTCTTTCAGTCTAACACAAAACACAAATCTTATATTTATATTCTAAAGTATATAAGTGCTTTAAGTTACACAAATGATCGTGTTAATATAAGGCAGTAACTGAAATATTTTTTCTAAAGTTATTCGTATGCGAATTAGGTTACGGTTTTGATATTTCACCTTGAACAGCTGTTATCGATATCAAACACTATTTTAAGACACACATGAAAAATATATGCATATTTGAAGAACAAATGAAACTATAGATTGTTTACAACCAGGAAGCTAAAATATCTGACTTCATTATCTATACTTTTACTAAAGCTACTGATATACAACCAGTTTTCACTGCATAATACTCACACAGTGCGAATATTTTAAGACTATCGTAGTGATAATGTAAGCTCACGATAAGAAACTAAGCTAATTAATAGCTCCCCAGTGGCACAGCGGTATGTCTACGAACTTACAACGCTAGAATCCGGGTTTCGATACCCGCGATGGGCAGAGCACAGACAGTCCATTGTGTAGCTTTGTGCTTAATTACAAGCAAACAAGCTAATTAATACTTCGACAACTCGAGGAGGAATGCCACCTAATGGAGCTTTGTGTAACTATAAGTAACTCATTTTTGTACATTCACCTTTTAAGGATGAAAGCTAATATTTTCTAATCGCCGGAAAAACATGGGTTAACATGAAACACTCATGACAATAACATCTCAAGAAAAAGTTTTTCTTTGATATCTGCATTTAAATTATAATTTGAACTGATTATGCGTTTTCAGAGTTAATTCTTTTTTAATTTGATGAAATAGTTTATTCATTATTAATTGAGAATTAATTTTTAGCATTGTTTTTTACTCATTGAGAACTCTAGAAGTTATTTTGTCTTTCCTTTCACGATCATTCATGTCTATAAGTTTTAGAACGTTTTTCTCTCTTAAACAGTCAATTTCTCAACACGAATCAAAGCTCTAGTAGCATTAGTTTGTTTCAACTTTTCCATTAGCAAGATTCGTTGCTGGGCTTAGTTTGCCTGTAGTCTCATCTTGATCTTTGGCCTTTTCCCACTTATGTAGAACTATTAAATGAATTATCATCAAACATAATTTAACTTCATGATATTTTCAGTGGAAGCTGTATTCTCATTAGGCAGCAGTTTCACTTTGAATTACTTAAACGTCCTAACTTTGTATTTGTTAGTTAACAGAAACTATAAACACCTGATCGTATTCTGAATAATTAATAACTCACCAAAATATTTATGTATTTAACATTTTGTAAGTTAGGAAAATCGGATTGTAAAGTGATTTATGTATATTTCAGACAAAGAAAATACAAGTAGGTCAAATCCAATAAGTAGAATTAAAACTTTCAAGTTTTGTTGTATATATGTATGCAAAACAATCATAATACAAAAATATACAATAAAAAAATGTAAAAAAGGAGCGTCAACGTTACGCCGTGAAACATGCTTGTTGTAGACATAAATAATTTTAATGTTATGCAGCTCTTCTGTAAATGTTTTTGTGAAATGGTTTGCGTAATTTGTTAAGCACAATTACTTTCTTTCTGAAACATGCAAAATGATGAGTCTTTGTTTTATTCTTGTCTGTATTAGCCGGAATGTGTTAACGTCAGTTTCTGGTATGTTCCTCCTGGCTTAAGAAAGATGCCACACAACAAGGAAAAAGAGATTAAACTTGGACAGGTAAGATTGTAGTTTTGTAATTGCCAAGTTCAAAATTTTAAACAATGTAATATTCGATTATTCAGTTACAAACAAATAAATATATCTCGTTGTTAATATCGCTTATGAATTATAATCTTTCTATAAAATAAAAACTTTATAGTTTAGATTATTAAACATCTAATATATATATAAAAGCCAGATGTCTTTTGGTAACGCTCAATTCGTCTATGTCAATTAGTAACAAAACTATGACCTGATATTGTTGTCTTAAGTATGTATATAGTACTTCGAAATTTCACGAGGGCTGGCTTGCATTCCACTATTTTATATTGTTTTAGTTTATGCATATACTTAGCTTGACGTAGACATTTTGTAGTTGTTGGCGAGTTTTAAAAAACATCTAAGTTAGAGGTTAGTGACCAAATTCATATGTTTATATTAGGTTTTTGTGGATATTTTCAGCTTTATTATTACTTTTTTTTGATAAAACTTTTTCTTTCTTTCTTTCTCCCACCCGTATTGCCATTAGTCTTAACTAATGATGTTACTTGAAATTAATCATTTTATAAGAGATCTTAGGCCTATTGGTTTCGAGTGCTTCATTTTATTTCGGCGTTTAAACCGTAATTTTAGGTTATACGACTTATGTTCTTGTACGTGTGAGATATCGATGGATTTGTGAAACTGTTCACTTACCACAGAGCCACTTGAGTAAGACAACTTCATGAAATAAATAAATCAGGTATACTTCAACAAGTACTCTTTTTCCACTGATTAAAATCTACATAAAAGCCGGCTATCATTCTGTGTGTAACTCTCATATTACGAGTCATTTTTAATTCAAGTTTACACCATTCTTATTGATTTTTTAGAGTGTACTTAACTTTTTTTCGATTGTTTTTATTTTATGATGAAGAGGGGAGTTTGGTGAACAAAGCTCACTGAAGGAAGGGCGGGGACCACGTTTTTTTGTTTTAAAAAAAAATCCATCCGTCATTTTTTGTCGGGTCGAACAAGACTAGTAAATTTTAAAAGGCACATAAAACAAGTCAAAATGTATAATCACATGTTAAGTCAATTGGATATTTTGTTTAGACTGCTTCTTTTCAGATAACAGCGAAACTTAAAGGAAGAATGATGGATACAGGCATGTTGATGATTGGCTACCAGCCTCTCGGAGACACGCCCAACTTCTTTCGTGCGATAATCTCAAACCCAGGAGTAAAGGAGGAGGATGTAGATCACATGCTTAACGAGCTAGAACGGTTAGGATATGACCTTTAGAAAGACAGATTATGTTATTTTGGGTTAAATTGAACTGACTAAATCTATGTGTTGGTAATTAGATGTATGACAGAATGTAGTACTGTACACAAAAATCAGTAGATATATCAATCAAATTACAGGATGTAAATCATAACATAGGTTAATCACAACTATCAATTCCTTTACGGTTTTATTTTTGCATGAACGTTACTGAGAAGATACAATATAATTTAGGCAATGTGTAAAATAAAACCATATTTTGAATTCAGAGTCTACACCATAGCAGTCTGGTCAACCTACTTCTATGCTATTAACAACATTTCGTAAAGTTCTGAAAAATAGGATTCTGAAAAAAAAAGAAGAAAGCATGAAACAAATACGTAGTCCAGAATTTACATGTTACTGATTCAGATAGCACTAAATACACACATTTAGGTAAAACTGCTCATGTCAGGATAAACTCTAACAAAGAGAAGTAAAAGTTATTTTATCCTGTGATTTAAAAAAATTGGTCAAAAATTAATAAATATTCGTTGCGTGCATATTCATACTTATTTTCATTTTTTCGCCATTAGACATGATATCGCCAGTTTACTTATCTCGCAATGAAAGTCAGTAAAGCATAGCTTTCATCTACACGTAGTCATATATTCTGAACGTCGTATGTTATGTATTATTATTAGTTTTTTGTCAGATATATATACATACTTGTCTTGTCTCGTGATCTGATGCTATTTGAATAAATTCTATGAGACTTTTTCATAATTGTTTTAAAGTTGTTCATATATGTTTAGCCATGTTGTATGCTCTATTATATAAAGATAGTTATTGAAATTATGTAACACTAGAAAGTAATTAGCGTTTTGTTATTGTTGAAATGGATATTTGGTCTTTAAAATGACATCTTAGATCACGAACAAACCTAACCTTATAAAAAAAAATATATATATAAAGCACACCCGAATTCAAATTTTAAAGCTTTGGCTGATCTTATAACAAAATATCCCCGCAAATCAATTTTAGTGTCCTCTTCTTATTTTGGCAGAAATAATTGTCATGTATGTGTTTCCATCTAGTGCAACCTGCTACCTATCGTGTAGTGTTGCAGTAAAATTAGCAATATGAAACTGAAATTAGCAGTCTAATAACCTGAGGAAGAGGTCTGAATAGAACTTGGCCTCCTAGGCCACGCACAACGACCAAAATACCAATCCAGATAAGACGAGGCTAATAATTTTTTAATTAAAAAATCCAGGACTATTTTATTTATTTTGTTTTAATTACTTAATTTATTTTAGTTATTTTATTATGTATTTTAATCATTTAATTTAAACTATACTATTCGTCCAAAGGTTTCTAACTCTCAAAGTGTACCCCCCACCCCC